CGCTCGCCGTCGCCGTCGTGACATCGGCCCCGCGATTAGGGGGCGTGGGCCTCGGCCGCGCTCCAACTGCCCATCGTCATCGCCATCGCCATCGCCCTCATTGCAGTGGCTGTGCTGCGCTTCAATGGTCGGCTGTTATCGTGCTGTCTGTTTTTGTGTAATTTTGCAATCTATTGCATGTGCCTCTTGCCCCAGTGCCTCCGAGCGCCCTCGCCCTCTTCTGCTGCCCGTCGACGAGCGTCGGCCGCGGGCGTGCCGGGGGATTGGCGGGCGGGGGGGTCGCTGAGGAGGGCGAGGCGGGGCGGCGAGAGGCAGCGGGGCGGCGCGACGGCGCGCGAGGCGACGCCCGACGACCGACGAAGACGAGCAGGGAAATGGAAGGGTGGAAGGGGGGTGCGGAGGATGAGGAGCGATGCGACGATGCTTTCAGTTTGGCGCCCCCTACTTCCCGACGCGCTGCCAGCCCGCTGCGCCCAGGATCTGCTGCTGCCGCCGCGGGGCCGCGGGTGGCGCGGCAGTGCTGCCCTGATATTATTCGACGCGCTGCTGCAGCAGTGCTCCCTGATATTATTCGAGGTCTACGCGGGGGTGGGGGGGCGGGCGCGCGGCGGCGACGGAGCAGCGGGGGGGGGCAGGAGGAAAGATGGCACGATCGTGAATCGCCTTGATCATCGGATCATCGGCTTGCGGGGGGGGGGCGTCGAAGGCCCATGTGCCCGAAGTCTCTCGGCTCGACGCCGCCTTCTTTCGGGGCCGTCGGTGGCTGGCAGGGGCAGCCAAACGGCGGCCCTTCGAATCTCCCGCAACTTCCCCGCGCAGGGCACCGGCGCGCCCCCGCGCGCCTCGATGCACTCGCGCAGGCGGGGCAGAGGCGCGGAGCACGAGGGGTGGGCGGACGCGAGTGCGAGACGGAGCAGCAGGGAAGGGGAAGGGGGGGTGAGGAGGGGGGGGGGGCGCGCGGGGGCGGAGAAGGAGAAGGGCGAAGAGAGGGGGGATGGGGGGGAGGGGCCAGATGCGTTCGGCACAGCTCGGGGGCGGCAGGTCCTGCTTGCAAGGGGCCGACTTCTTGGATCTGCAGGAGCGCGACGAGATCGCGCGCCAGGCTCCTCATTTGCCGCGGGGGCGGGGCGGCGCGGCCTAGAGAGGGGGGCGGAGG